AATATATTCTTCTGTTTGCTTCACACAATTGATTGAAATATGAAAGCGTATGAAATATGATTTTATTGTAGAAAACGAATAGTTACGTGTGAGATAACGTCACCTGGTATATGTCAGAGAACCATTTTATCGAAAAGCACCCCTGAAACTGAATAAAGCGTATATCCGCACGATCAATAACATCTCTAGTAATGTATGTTTTAATTAATAAAGTGTCATGTTTTACTTTTGAGATTAAAGAAATATAAACAGCCATTAAGCCCACTTAAAACTGCAATCCGATATTCTCACAACGATCTGAGTACTGACACCGTATAACATTTCGTAATTGCAGTGTAACCTCTCACAGCCTGCTCCACTTAACGTGGCAAAAGTTCTGGGAAAAGAAAAAGCATTTGTGAAATTGCATATTTACAAGATGATACTGGTTTTTATGAAAGTAGCGAAATGCAAACACCACACCACTTGACTTCTCCATTTACTCAATCATATTACGTTATTGGCACATCAAATTGAAAAATGCGAACGATTCTCAAGAAAGTGTTGATTGTCATGCAACCTCTGGTCTCCGAAAATAATGAACAAAAAGGGGATATTCGCGTGTCAGTGCGAAGATTAAACACTTGCTGGGGTAGAATTACTATGCATGATCGCTAAAGGTTATAAATCCGTTATTAAATGTGTGTGGTTTACCAAAATGACACGACGTGAAGGGTCTTGATATTTCTTCTCAAATAACCATAAACGTATGGGTAATATAAACGCTAAGCTCATTAAAATGGTTTCTTTTCTTTATTAGGCTTGTTATTCCAAACCGTAATGAAAATTGTTATGAGAAAACATCATTGTGACTCAATGGTCGCAGTTTGGTTACTGATTGCAAGAACATTGGCTTATTAGGGACCATTCCCAGACTCTGTCGTACTAACCGTGGATCGATCTATCTCCAAGGGGATTCTCGCTAAACTGCAATCAACTTAAGCGGCTAAGATGTCTTTCACGCCTACTGAATCTGCTAGGGGTAATTAATCATCGTTTAGCAGCTTGAGTAGGTGTGCCAGACATCTAAGCCTCTTAAGCTGAAAGCAATTTAGCGAGAAACCCCTTGGAGATAGATCGATCCTGTTAGATCTATCTAGGTATGGGAACCCAGTTTTATACGAGAGGGCCAGATTCAGGTCTAGAGGTGGCCTCTCTTTTGAGAGATAACTTGAAACGGCAAGGGTATGCTATAGTGTACAGATTTATTTCAAATATGACTCTGAAGCTCAGGGTGTGCCCTAAACACTCTCAGCATCATGGTTCCCCCATACCAGAACAAGTAACTTGTGGCAAGCATGCTTTACACTTAAAAATCAGGAAAAATCCGATTGTCGTATACCACTCATACATGGGGGCCTACTTCTGCTTTTTGATCTTTTTCTCTACAGTTCAGATATCATTTTTTCAATTTTAAAAAACCTACCCCCTTCTCATCTATTTTGTACTCTGGCGGTTTGGTGCCCCCTCAGCCATGGTGCCCAAAGCATGTACTGAGTCTGTTTACACAAAAATCCGGCCCTGAGAGAGAGAGAGAGAGAGAGAGAGAGAGAGAGAGTCGGTGCGTGTACATGCAGTAACAGTGCAGAGGACCCGAACAATAAATTACTACCATAAAGTTTACGCAAATGTCTTGAAAGGCTCCAGCTCTACCAAATAAAACATATCTACTGCTCATCAATTGTCACTTTTCTCCGTTATATTTACTTATACCACCGTTCAGCATTAACAATAACTAACCAATTCTTTTCTTTATTTACCACAGGTGCATCATCTGTACAAATATGGACCAATTACGCCAATTACTGAACCAATATCCTCATCACTTTCTCGTGGTCACCATGGTCCTTTGCGTTTTACCATTGTCCACAGACGCCTTCATGCGCCCGTACTTTGATTGCCGTTTATGTATGTACAGAAGCCATGACATGGGCTGCTGGACCAGATGCTCCCAGAGAGGCGTTGGGGTAATACCTTTTCAAAGCGCGGGAAAGCGTGTTTGGGACACCAATTTGGAACCGACAGAAGACGAACCCGATAAAAGGGACATTTCTAGACGGGACTGCTTCAGAGTTTGCCTAGCCAGTGATAACCCGTCTCTGTGCAGGCAAGGTTGTGTTTTCAACCAAAACATCATCCCCTACTATAAGAGAAGCGATGTCTCGGACGAAGACCACCTTGAACAGCCTACCAAACGCTTTCCAGTGGAATTCATGATGTGCGATTATTGTTACAGAAGGAGATATGCAATCTTTTACGACTCACGGTGCTCCATTTGTTTCAGAACAAGTCGGGCCTTTAGGCGCCCATCTTACTATCGTTAAACAAATAGCTTGTTAGTTTATTGATCCGTTTACTTTACCGTTAACAAAACTGAGCATGTGAAAGCCACACGCCCAAAATCATGTATATTTTTTTGCATATGGTTATTATTAAATTGATGAAATTATCCTAGAGTTACTGGGGTTACGGCTTGTGTGAATTAAGGTTTTGACTCATCACAGGCTCACGATTAAGGGAATACAGTGGTACTGAATTTAGAGTCAATCAGACAATGTTTCGAAGTCTAATATACGTGTATCATTGGCCACGCGGTTGTGACATGCTTTATTGTAACTTGAATAGTAAATTGATGTAGCAACAAGTATTATGAACTCATTTGCACACAGTAAACCAATGTACCCTATTGTAATATCTATTGTATCATGCCAAATGTCGAAGTTTGAAAACGATCGTTGCAAACGGTAGTCTGACGTCTTCTGGGATAAACGGGAATTGACCAGGTTAGAATCAACGTAAGATAAAGTATTTGAAAAGTTAATATTTTTAGTATCGAGGAAAAGGGAAGTTTAGACATTAACTTTTTTTTATTAAAAAATGTCTTTTGTAAGATATATAATTGTTTTTGTTGGGAATTACATGTGGTGTTATGAAGACTGAACTCTTTTCTTTCCGAGTATCACAGTTGTCAGATTTTAACTCATTCACTTTGAAATATTATCGACATGTGATCAAGTAAGCTACTTTACGTCTGTCTTTATTGCTTATTATATAGATTAAAAAACGCAATCAAAATATCTCGGAGAATACAAAAAGAATTAAATATAGAGTTTATGACACGGAGTTTTATAACACTCCACATATTTGTTTTAACATGTACATGCCTGCATATCGTAGTGTTTCATCGTTTCGGTGGAATTTAAGTATTTATTGTATAGTCAGTCATTGTAGCTTTAGAAATAAGATCAATTTGAAATCTATACATGCATACAACAGACGGTGTCATTCTTCTTTTTTTACGGATGGGGATTTGAATACAAAGGTACACTGTCATTGTGAAGGAGGAAGGGAAAAGCAAAATCCTAAAGAAACAAAACAAATTTTCATTTCCTAGGAGAATTTCACGAGCCAAGTCCGCAAGTAATATAACGGGCTGTTTAAACAAAATGTACTCACAATTGATGCATACGTCAATTAAACAGCCGAGATTTGAATGCCTCGGAAAATGAAATTATTGCACTCTCTTTGAACTAGACAAAACTACAATTAACCTGCTTTGGAGCTTGTTGCTTTATATTCAGATATAGAATAGATGCTTTTATTGATGGGATAGGATAAGAGGCTGAAAACATACAACACGATAAAGGTACCAAATCTGGTATAGGGTAGATACAAGATATTAGCCAGGAACTGAAAAGCATCAATCCATCACGATTGTGATATTTTGGACATCAAAAGGATTTTTCTTGCCTCAAGCGTTTTCTGTTCAGTTCCAGACGTGGCATCTAGCCTACACTGTTAGAAGTGATCATCTCAAGAAACATGAATTATAGACCTAATCACGCCAGGTTTTCGAGCCTAAAATGGTAAAATAATAAGAGACGTACAGATGTACTAGTATAATAAGGCTGGGTTTTGCAGAAGAATTCCAACGTTCACAAGAACACGGGTGTAACCAACCCATTATCGGGCAAGATGATAACTCTTTATCAATTGATTATGGTTAGTAGTTCTTAATCAACATTTTTGTTCATTTTATGATTTATTGTTTTTTTCTTCTGAAAATTTTTGTTCAGATTAAAGCAATGTAGAAATTCCATTACATTGGTTTCCAATTACTCACACGACATCTTTACTGTAATATGGGCAACCAGTTGCATATTCGGCAATTCCCTGAAGAGAGCATCCCGTAGCGAGTTCTGCTGGGAGTGGCAGTCTGATATGGACGCTCCATCAGGCAATATTGTGACTTAAAATTAATCGCACTAATGGCACGATATTTTCAAGTAGTCCCCAGTGGAACACGGATCACATTGTAAGCGAGGTTCAATCCATTACAGTCAAAGTTCCCCTTTAATATGTCAAAACTATAGGGATTCATACTGCTTGGGACGACATGCTGTGCAAGCTTTAAATTTAGAAATGTGCAAATTATCAGATAGTCGTTTCTAAAGTTTTGCAAGAGAAAGAATTGATTTTAGACTTTGGTATCTATTTCGAAGCGCATGTCGAATTTGATTTAACAATTTCAAGTAAAGACGGAAGCCGAAGCTCTCTAAAACCATATAATGGTATTGCCCATAACTTCATTATTCTAATAGGGTTTTCTTCCTTTTGATTTCAAGTTAATCGGAGCCATCAGCCCTAGAGAGTGCCGCAACGTGATGTATATATACACTATATGCAAATAACTAACAAAGCCATTTCGACACTTTTCAGACCTTTAACAAAACCTACAAAGCCAATGTTTTTTTCCTAACTTATCTTGTGTTGTCTTATTTTGCTCTTCTTTTTTAATTATTGCAAATGAAACTCGAACAAATTTTTTCATTTATAAATTCTTTTGTTTTGTTTCGTTTATATTTCATACTTATGAAGCTCTCACTCAAAGTAGAATTATAAACAGAAAGAAACAACAGTGAAGGCACATTTAACAAGCTGGCAAAAACTTAACAAAGACATGAAACAGAACATCTTTATATATGAGGACAAGCCAGCAATATGGGTACTTCAACACTGAAACACAAATAACTTTTTCATATCTTTATCATATCTTACATCTTTGCTCAATTATACCAAATGATAATAAATTTGATGAACAGTCAATCAGCTCCACCATTAAGTCATTCATCAGGTTAACCGCAGCAATGTCTACGCTAAGCGATACAACTTAAAGTGGAAAGTAGATTTACATTCAATTTGTCTCAGGTTTGAACTACTGTTATACATTTCAATGTGCAGCATCTACTTAAAGATTCATACATGAATGAACATACATATTTTCTCTTTGCAAGAGTTTTCCTAACTGGCAATTTATTCCTTAAACACTTGTTCAAAATCTCACGACTTCTGATGGGTAAATATATTCATTTTCAATGATGGGTAAATAACAACGGCAGATTGACATGATTTCAGTGCCAATAATATTTCATAGTTATGTACAGTAATGATACTTAAAAGTCTCTTCAAGTGTCAAACAAAGATCAGTCTCTGTTTATTTTTGTCTTTCTTTCCAATTCCTACTTTTATCAAGCAATTGCCTTTGCTTCTGGAAGGAATGTTTCCCAGTACTTGATCAGCTGAAAGAAAATGAAAAAAGTTCCAAATTTCTCTTTTCATTGATTCACTAACATTTGTCCCATCAACAATGTTTCATCTTATTAAAAAGAATGCTTAGAAGAACATTATCAGGTTGTGTACAAATCTTGCTTATAACTGATCAATGAATACTGTCATCATACACAATTATTTCTCCATCAAACTTTGAATCAATAGCTTTAACTTTGTATCAAGTAATTTTGTTTTTTTTTGAAGATGCTTATTCTAAACTTTTACTGGTTAGAATTAAAAAAAAAGTTTTGTTTCTGATTATTCATAGGAAAATAACAAACCTGTTGCTGATTATTCATAAGAGTTTCAAGATAGTTGATTATAGTTATCTTAAAATCTCGCACTCTCTTTTTGTCGAAGCGGGCCACCTCCTTTCGGATATTTTCTGATATTTTTTCAAAGTCCTCTTGACCTTTTTCTACTTTTCCCTCCCACTGAAATGAAACATGATGCTCACATAACATATGTCAAACTTCAAGAAAAGAACAAATTTTCTTATGTAAAACAACAACAATAATAATAATAATAATATTGCTGAACTGCATGAACATGTATTGCATCTTTGCCACCTAACCATGAGAAAAAATGCTTGATGCTATCATAAGAAAAACCAAGACTTAAAGTATTTAGTAATGAGATCATTTGCAGAGACTATGACTCACATTATCATGAATGAAAGTTAAGAGAATAAGCTAGGCAAAATACAAACAAACCTCCTCTATTTCTGACTGAGCTTGTGGAATTTTGTCAGATTTGTGGGCTAATTCCAGTTTCACCTTGGCTTCTCTTTTTTTGTTCAGCATTGATTCGGCCTCCTTCCAGGCTTTATAGACCTTTACTCTCTGGTTAAAAACATCCTGAAATGGCAATCAATTACAAATTAAGAAAATTACATTTTAAACTGTGACAGGCAATTGCAAGACATCAAACAATTAACATACAAAGTTTTACAAGAGTTTTCAACTACCACTGTTCAAGCATATCTAGTAAATAAAAAATTAATCAACATGTCCTTTACATTTATACTTGTCATGCATTTCTTGTATTAGAAACTCTAAATGTACTGTTTATGTACTTTGTAGAGGTTTCAGCATTACACTTCAATATTTATTAAAATATACAAGTTTTTGCCAAAACAAAATATTTACATTGATCAAATATGGCACTACAAACTACCTAGAGGAAAACAAACTATAGTGACCGCAATGACAACAACAAATACAGTGTCAAAACGAGGAAAATATTGTCCTGCACAGCAAGAAAATTTTTTCTTTAAATACATTTCTTGCCAACTGCCTATTTAAAACACACCCAATAGCCGTGAACAGGCAGGAATACACAATCCAAATGTTCCTGTCTGTGTGTACTTAAGGCGTTTCAAACATGCTGAAATCAATAAGACACAAACCAAACGAAATCTTAATCTGCAGAGAATACTTTTAATTAGTGAAGTGTGTAATATCCTACTGCCAGCAAACACCAGAATACAAAACCCAGTGGGGTATTATTAACTGACTTTGTGTGGTACGATTAACTTAAAGGCTAATTGGTCATTTTAAATGTTTTAAACTGTTTTCGTGTATAACTGCTGTTCATGCATTTTTCATCAGGATTCTATAAAAATATCTTTTAATCATAGCTTCTGAGAAAATTGAAAGTTTTGTTTTACATATTTGCACAATCAATTAGGCAATCAGCATTTAAACAAATGACCCCCTTCTATTTTGATGGCAAACAGTAAGGTGTGTCTTAAACGATTTTATTAAAAAAAATTAACTTTATTGATATTTACCGATCAATTTCTATTATATCAGTAATAACAACAATAATGTTATAATTACGAAATATACCTTGTGTATTAAATAACAGAATCAACATAAGGGAGGTGACTGTAGACAATCTCCTTCAGCAAAACTGAGAGATAAAATCTTTAGTTATGGTCACTACAACTTACTAAGGATATCCAACATAAACCTCACTCTATTAATGACTTAGTGCTTATTCATTTTTATTAATTAATATATTTATCTTGTTATTTTTTGGAGGCTGCAGAATATCAATTCAGACTAGAAATCTTTCACTAGAAAAGTGAGTCCCACAGATGCAGGGGGAAAAAAAAAAAAAAAAAAAACCTGCCAAAGACATTGTGTTGACACCCAAGCTGACTGAATCAGCCCAAGCATATAATGCCATTATGTCAAGTGTTCACATCCTGATGACAGCTTTTGACAGTATACACCTAACCATCACATCTTCAGACAACTGAGCATGAAAACCAATATGCTGGGAATGTATTATTGAAATTTTCCCCCATATTGCATTGATCAGATGGCCTAACATCTAATACCCATGGGGTACATGACTAAAGTTTATTACTTCATTTCTCTTTGATAATACTTAATACAAGAAACCAATTTTCCATGATGTTATTTTTCTTTCTTATCTGGAAATCTTGTCGAACGGCTTCATTATTGTAGGGACACCTTACTGCACAAAATAAGCAATGAATATAAAGCACCAACTTTGGTTCTACAAATTCTGACATGAAGACATCTTTTGTTTTCATTCAATTTCAGCTCATCTGTCAAGCGCTCAGAATTTGCCTGAATTGATCAAAAGCATGTATAACTCAATATTCCATTAAAAAGGGAAATTAAGTTTACCTAGAGTAAATACATTACATCTTTATGAAACCGATAGATTAACATTCACATTATCTGATCCTAGCTGCAATTGTAAATACATTGTAGAACCTAAGCTTCATTATGGACTAAAATTAGAGTGGGAAAATAATGCATTACCAGCCCATGTGGCTAGACATATACTGGCAGCTGTAATTGATTGCCAGGAGTTTTTCACAAAGCTATGCATAAATGTATGCCCATAACACACATCAATGTTCACTTTCTATCTCAACACTGAAGTTGTGCAGGTGGCAAAATTGCTTAATGGTGCCTTCAGCTTTCTACTCATCATTTGATGAAAATAAAAAGTGAATCATTGTTGTCATAAACCAAATAAATGAAAAAAAAAAAAAAATGAGCGCACAGCTTTTGAAGGTGGTTACAATATATTGCAATCACAGTGTGTGAATTAATTATTTATCAATAATTTCCTAATGGTCAACTATGCAATCCTCTGAGAAACTCAGAAACAATATACATCTAATACCTTACCTTCTACATTCAAATATATAAATTTAATGATAAAACTATTAGTTTACCATTGGTGAAGATACCACAAAACCTTCCTCAATCATTTACACAGTTTATTAGATATTTCCTAAATTCTGTAAACTTGTTTATATACTTGTATAATGATGATAACAACAACAGGAAACCTAAATATGGAGATCATCAGGTTTAAAATCCTCCCTACAGATCCCTACCTACAGCTGCCATCAAAATATAATAAACTGGGATTAACTGCAGTAACTGTCTCATGATATATTTACATACGAGCTAGTAGCTTTATTTGCTCCCAAGCTATTCCATTCAATGTGATTATTTCACTGGCATTCCCATGAGGTGGGCCTCACTTCAAACTACCAACATATATCTTCATAAATGCTACATTACTATACAGCAGTGTGATTTGAGTGTGTCTGTATCAATGAGCAGCAGTTAGTAAACTGCAATGTAAGACATCATATAATACTCATACATGCAAAAAGTCAAATTCCATGCTCTAATCATTGAACGGGTTTAACAATATCACCATTTAATGATCTATTAAGACTGACATTTTGATACTGATATATTCTATAGAGACTTAGACCCCATTCCCATAGACACCATCCACCTACGTAGATCAATCAAACACTGTGGGAACTCTCACCAAGTCCAATCAACTTAGCTGAATAACACGCTGCTTCTTGTTTCCAACGTACTCGTGTAATCACTGGCTTTTCTTGTTCTTAACACCAGGAGGAGGCATTTTTATATGTTGAGCTGACTGCACTCAGCGAGAGTCCCTCCAGAGTTGATCTACATAGACCGATGGTGTCTATGAGAATGGGGTCACAGTTAAAGGATGTGTAAATGAACTTTATCTGAACTTATACTGCATGCTGGGATCAATTAAATCATAAGAGAATAAGGGCTTAAATACCAAACATATTCCATATCAATTGGAAAAAAGGCATGCTTAAATATATTGGTTGATGAGCTAAAAGCATTTTCAATAAGTCTTGAATGTTCAAAAACATCGACATATTTTTTATTCATTATCTTTTTCCCTGTAATTCTATGTGTATCCATAGATAAAATATCATTTGACTGAAATCTAATTGGCTCAATCAAATTGATTACATTGATATCTCACGTCTATACATCATGATAATACTGAACATAATAGCAGTCCAATCTACTTTTCCAGAAACTTTCATCAGCTAAAAACAAAGTGAATTGCATACACAAATATAATCATTCATGATTACATTGCATAATATTTTTTATCCGCCCATCTCAACAAATTAGCTGAAGATGTTTTTTCTGTCATTATACAAAAAGTCAAAGTACTGGATCTAACATTTGTAGTTCTCTTTCTTGCTAAGTTTACATGGTGTTCTAACTAAAAGACGTCTCCCAGGATTTAACCCAAAACTCACATGTAAAATGAAGTCATTTTCGTTAACACAGTTTTCCATACAGTGTATATGGTCAAAAAAAGAAAAAAAAAAGCAACTGCATGTGGCGACCCAAGTTCCAAACAACTGCTACTCACCTTGACAGCTCCTATAAGTGTTACGTAGTCTTTCAGAAGCTCAGCAAATACATAGAAGTCTGTGTCGGCCTGATCTTCATGCAACTGCTCTATCTTTTCCTCAATCTCTGCCAGCTGGGAAATTGCACGAGACAACGCCGTGTGCTCTTCTGCATTAGCCAACATGGCAGCACTCTTGGCGAATGATCCAGTCATCTGTGACAAATCTAGTGGGTGAAAAATATCATTGATTCTTAGGTCGTATATCTCTAAATTAAGATGTTTTTCTGGTACATGCTGAACTTCTCCGATATGAAATGTACAGGCAAACCTGCTAGCACATAACACCACTATTCACATTCTGCTGCATCCAGCTCCCTGTATTATTCAAACCCAAAGTTCTTATGAAATGTTCTCCCGGAAGATTAGTGCACATAAAACCTTCATTATAATCTACATACACATTTGAAAAAAAGTCCAAACTAATATAGTTATAAAGTATTCGCTACAGTGTAAAAATTCACTGATATTTTATTTTAAAATTTTAACTAATGAAGGTGTGACTTCACCTTTTCTATGAACTACCAAAGCTTCTACACTTCCATGCAATTTTCTTAAATGGGTGTCCAAGCTCTCCACTTGCTGCTGTTTCTCTTCAAACCACTAAAAACACAAAAACAGTAAGTTAAAATTTCGTTTCACTTGTTTATATATAGTGTTCACTGAAAAAAAGGCAAGCTATTTATGCTTGTACTCTATACAAAAGGCTGCCCAGCTGTATTGTTGCAAATACTAAATAATCTTCAGTTAAATGTTATCTTAGTCAAGAATCTTTTATTTGTCTCAACTGAATAATTAAAACATCAAAAGTGCGTGACTCATGCAGTAAGTACATGTATTGGGTTCATGGAAATAGCATGGAATATATAATATATACAGATATGATTTTACACAGGAATATACATATATATCCCTCAAGGCACCCAATTTCAACTACAATATAAATGTACTCATAATGCTGACGTGTTCCCAGATACACTGTAGTTCACACATGTTACATAAGATAACACGTCATATTTTATCAGATATTACATAACCTGAAAGTGTCACATCAATCATCCTACATAAAATGTGCTATACCAGAAAAACACTCAATCAGATAGCCTGATAATAACACCTGGGTCTGTAAGCTATGAAAACATTGACGTCAATGAGCAGGCAAACTTGAACAGCTATGTAAAAAATACTAAGTAGAAAGTGCAACATCAATGTAGAACTCAAAGAAAGAAGAACAATAAAAAGCAAGCAATATCTGATTCAGAAAATAAGTTTTTACAACACATTTAAAGCATCTTTTAAAAAACCTTTAAGTTTCTTTACCATATTGTCCTATTATTCAATAATAAATGCCTTTCTATTATTCCAGCTCTTCTCTTTACAAATGACTTTATAAAATAAAACATCTGCACCACATAGATATAGACAGGGAAACCGTTTTCTAACATTCTAATGACAAAGAGGAAAATAAAAGATTACATTATAACTACCATGCAACCATCATTCTCATCATTTCAGAATTTTTACAAGTTGATTAGATGTACCAACATAAATTTTGTTTTTGCAATATAATAGTCTGGAAAACAGTCTTTAAAGAATAATACATTTTTGTAAATGTGTTTAGCCAGGGTTTAGGAATAGGGACTCCTATAAATTCATTCTCATAATGAGGCTGTGGAGACTCCCTATCCTCCTGTAATATAAATCTATAGAATGGCTCTCCAAAATTGAAATATTGAATTCAAAAGACAGCTGAATGGTTGCCTGACTAATGCCCTGTAGAAGAAAACTATAAAACTTTTTGATAAAAAAAAGTTTTGTAAGACAAATATCAAAAAATAAATATCTTGTTCAAAAGCTACAAGAATACTCAATATTATTTGTCATTAAAAAATCAAAATCAAATTTTTGATTCTGAAACTGGACTTACACTGACTCATGCTGAAAACTCATACATAACAAGTTATGTTGAGGATAGGAAAGTTGTAACAATGCCAACTGTTCCTACTGGCAAAAGAACATAAAGAAACAACATGATAGTTTTACCAAAAGAGAAGAGTACATTGATATAGAAAATGAAGTTCTAGAAGGACTTTAACTGCTGTTGACAAGACAAACATTCATGTCTGAACAGGTTTTACAGTAATGTAGCTTGAAGAAATTGAAGAGACAGCAAGACATTGCCAAATTGAATAGAAAAAAGCATGCTACAATCCTATTACCTGAAAATCAAAATCCGTCTGAGAGCATTCAAATGGGAGGATAGGTTGGCAAAGATAAGCACTCAGAAACCAGGGCAGTTCAAAATGAGGCTATGTAACAGAGTATGAATTTCAAAATCATGATACATAACACATTACATTGATCACTTGGGAAGAACCATAAAATCTAGATGTGTGTATAGCTTTACCTTTACATGTCCTTCACAACAATATAAACTGTCCCCTTACAGAAATCACTTTTTTGGGGTAATATTTAAAAGATTAAGAATAAACTGTTTAAAAGTACATACAAATACTGCATAAACCTCAATTAGTTAGTCTGACTCACAATATCATGAAATATTGTTAATGAACCTAAAACAATATGAAAAATAACTATCAGCAACTTTTCAAACAAAAGCACAATTTTTAACACTTTTCTTTCACTGCACACTGCCTTTACATAAAAAAAAGATCCACACAAAGCATAACATAAAAGCTGCAAACAAGTGTCTGAGCAACTCAAGCAAAAGGTAAAAGAAAATGTCTGCAAAACCTGCTATTATAATTGTCGCATCATAATAAACAAGAGGGCTGTATGAGTGACATTGTATAAATGTTCAGCATATTCTAACACATTACTAGAGTCGCTGGCCAGCCTTATATACATACAACCGACTTCAGGAACATTCACGACTCACAATTAAAGCTATATTAACCAAAGATAACGGATCTAATCACCTGATCAGTCTCGTCCATTTTAAAGGTTATCTTTCCTACGGCATCACCAACTTTATTAAAAAGCCTCATCACTCCTGCCCCACTCAGAGCTGATGTATTAGTGGCCTTGGGAAGGTCCCCATTCAGCTCCAGAAACTCTCGGAAATCAGGATCCATTCTCAATACTGGGTGTGCTGCTGTGCGATTCAGGTATCTATACACAAGGAATGATAAGAATTCATTCATAACATAAACATGTTTATCATCCCAGTTCAAAAGTTATTATTAACATTGACATATTGGCTTAGCTGACGACTGAGAGAAAATTATCGAGATCACAACTCTGCTTAATACAGAATACAAGTTGCCTAATAAATATGACCAATTGCATTACCCTAAAATCTGGTAATACCCATACCTTTCTAATGCAGCTCTTCTTTTTTCCACAAATTCAGATGAACCCTGGTCTTCCTTGGACATCTTTATCTTTGTCATACCTAAAATATAAAATGATTCCATTTTCAATATAATTTTTGAAAAAAAAAAAAAAAAAAAAATGAAATGAAATGAAATAAATAAATAAGACATTTCTGATTGTTAAGTGCATTCAACCTATTGTTCATTAGCAGGTAAGAACTCATCAATATTGACAGCATTTTAACTTGTAAAGATATCAAATTAAATTAAAATTTAAGGACACATAGACTGGGTTCCCATGCCTAGATCGATCCATCTGGATCAGTCTAACTCCCTGGGGAGACTCACTAAATTGCCATCAACTAACTGGCTTAAATGTCTGTCACGCCTACCGAATCAGCTAGCAGGTAAAGATAATTACCCCTTAACAGCTTTACTAGGTGTGACAGACATTTGAGACAGTTACATTGATAGCAATTTAGTGAGACTTCCCAGGGAGATAGATCGATCCAAATGTATGTGGGAATGGTCCTCTAAGCATTACAAAGCATATATGAAAAAATGTCCTCAACTGAACAAAAATTATTAGAAATCAATTACAGGATATAAACGTCAGAGTACCTATGACACTTTTCTCTGGAGCTGGTGGTACAATGCGTCCTAACATCAGGTGTTTTTCTGTCAACTTATCATGGAGGCCAAGGAAATCACTGAAACGTCTGGTAACTGAGAAATCAGACTTTTGAAAAGCTGGAATGGTTGTCTGAAAATAACAAAAGTCAATTTCATTAAATTTATATCTTTTGTGAATCAACCAACTGACAAATCAAAATCATTTACCTATGCAATTTAGAAAAAAAATAGTGTACTGGCCTCTTTGCAACCCCAAATATTGAAATATGTGCACTATTTATTTGGAAATCATATATATATTTTTTTAATGTTATTTTTCAGGCCTAACCATTATTAAATGTTATTACTCAACATTATTCACTAGCCTACTAAATTTACATCATATTTCTTATCAGAGGGACATTGCAATAAATGTTGCTGTAATCAGTCAAATTTCAAACATCATTCTGACTTGTGTTTGTCCTTTATTAATACTTTTGTCAAGTTTGAGTGAGGAGAGATAAATAAACAAACAAACAAACAAACAAATAAACAGCACAATTTAAAGTACCCCCGAAGTAAAAACTAGTAGGAACTTTGAATCTAAAACAAATTATAGATTACAGATATAGATATCTCTATAAAAGCAACTGACATGCAACTTTTTGCAAAATATCACATTACTACAAAAGCAGCAGGCTCTTGAAGTCTGAAGACTGCAACGTGAATGTTTCTACTATCATATACCTTTGTGTTAACATCATACACCATATAGGAACTCATGCCATCTCCCTTCTTGTGTGGGTTACCAACACTGATCTCTAAACTGAACTTGTCACCTCCTTCCTCCTCCTCCTTCTGGAAATATATGAGTAATACATAATCATACTGTACCACATCAAAACAGCTACACGTACAGTTTTTTTATTCCAAAGGTGACAGATTTTTCATAATTTAATTATATTTTTGGGAGCCTTATATGATCCTCATTTTATATTATCACTTTTTTCTAGACAAGAAATCTCTTTGTAGTCAAGCTTAGATAAAACACATGCCATAAATAAGACTAAGCTGTGTCCATTAATCCAATTCAAAGATGCTAACAGCAAAATATTGTACAAATGATGCTGGCTTCAGAGGAAAATACACCCCCAGGAAATACATTCACCGTGTAGTTATAACCATGTAGTTTGCCTCCCTTTCTCTTTATCAACCTCTACCTCACATATATTAAGCAGATGACAGACAAAATGAAGACTTAACCTACAGCTGCTTTAAGAGCTTATGAATAATACTCAGTTTTGTAATTCAATACAACACCCAATGTCACATGAGGTGAATTATTTCAAAGTTGCTACATGTAGATTTTAAAATTCTCACTGAACAAGCTACATGTAATAAATAACACAAACTGGAACAGTATTATATATTGAGAATATCAACCCAAAGCTTGACATTAAAGGTGGCCCAATGGCCCTGGGGAACTGAAAACCAACCTAGGGCCATTGAATCGATGGGGTCACCAGCCCAAAGAGCAAGTAAAATGTCATGTGTCAAATCATTCTTGCAATATTTACTGTTATCTCGGGCCAGGATTGCAAAAAGTTACGGTAGTGTCAAGCCCTGCAACCTTGCCACAATCTAAAATATGTCTTAATACGCTCTGCTGGGATTTAATTTCTACCCTTTCTTATATCCTAGAGTATAATGTGCCTGCTGCACTGGGTGTAATTTGTGACCTCAATTATCTTTGCAAATGAGAAAAAATATGAAATTACCTATAAAGCAGGATGATATGAACTTGTGTAAAGGAAAAAAACCCATAAGGTATAATGCTCATTCAACATCTTAAAATCAATGCTGTATTTAAACAAACTTACTTCTTTCAAAAGTTTCTTTTTTATATCTCTGTAACGCATGCACCTATATGCAAAATCAATTGGCACAATCTTAATAGAGCGTTCCAAGTCTGGTTGTTCCATGTCTCTTCACTGTGTCATGTGATCATCACCATAATAGCAAGCAATATACTCATCTGACCTAGATATTATCACACTTTCCAGAAAATAAATCTACAAAATGACTCACAAATCCCATAACTGCACAGTGTGTGTGACCCTAAGAAACTGAACAGTGAAGATAGCGGTTCATGTGACAAAGATGCCTTGTGACCTTAAAAAACATCTTGTGATTCTGTGGTTGAACTCAGCATTTCTGTGACAGTCATGAGTTGTGATGTCCATACTGGTTTTACCACAATTTTTGTCATGTGATCTGTGACATCCTTCACACTACACATAATGACTTAGACCCCATTTCCAGAGATTAGATCGATCTACTTTAGATCGACCTAACTCCCTGGAGTTCACACTAAATAGCTGTCACCAAAGTTAATTACCCCCTTACAGCTTGTAGTAGGACATTTAAGCCAGATTATCTGACAGTAATCTAGTGAGACTCCCGCAGGGATAGATCGATCTAAAAGCTCTAAGAATACAGCCTTACTTATATTTATGCAAAAGGTTTATATCTACTCAGTTTAGTAAAAGAAAAAAAAGGGAACATTCAGTGACCTAGACCTGTCAACCTCATTACCCCTTAAGGCTTTGTTTTGGGCAGGGGAGGGTAGTAATTTGCAAACATATTAAATGACAATGGGTTATAAAATATCAACTAAATTGTCTTAAAATCTGTGGTTAAATTCTGAAAAATATTAGGACCTTTATGAGAACCACAATTAACTAGAATTGAAAAAAAAAAAAAAAAAAAAAAAAAAAAAACTACATGGGATATTTTAAGCCTACCCAGGATGTGAACACAGACTGGTAGATAATCCAGTTTGTTTTCTCTATCCTTTTTTCTTTTAAATGTCCATCCATTTCTTGAAAAAAAACTTGTCTAGCAGCTGTTTTCCTTTCAATCACGACTATTTCCCCCTTTTTTTTCCACAAACCATACTTCAATAATAACTTTCACTCTATCTTAATGCTATCATTGTTTGACTAAATGTACTACCTCTAGAGACAAACATCTTACAATAAATTATCTTCTACAAATCTTACTTCTTCTTTTGATTTCCCTGCAGATGCAGATGCTGTAGTGGTAGTTTTAGTTGTGGTGGGTGCTGCAGCAGAAGCCGAGGTCACAGACACCTCTGTTGTTGCTGGTGCCTTATCACTATCATCTTCATCATCGTCTTTCTTTTCATCCTCTGGTGTTGGATCTTCTTTTTGTTCCTCTGGTACAACCTCTGCAGGCTTGTCTGCACTGTCATTTAATGGGACTTCTGTGTTAGCATCTGAAAAACAGAACATGATATGTATAAAAAAGCAATTAACAGATGTAACTGTAATGTACCGGTGATTATTTTGATCATATCACTTTTTTATCTCAAAATTGGGCAATGAAGGATATAATGTTACTAAACAATATTCATTTTCATATATGAAATGCAAGCTAATCTGTTACCATTTTGAAACATTAAAATTTCTTTTTTCAAGTCATGTCTTTTACTGTTATCTATTTTACAAAAATAAAAAGGTTTGGTAGACAATATATGCCTTATTAGAATGAAAACAATGAGATGAACCTTAAAAACCCCATTCATAGTGCACAAAACTGATCTTATAAAAGTTGCACTTAAATTCTGCATAAATGGTTCAAACAAAATAATTTACCTGCAAAAAGATCATCCTTATCATCATCATCTTTACTATCATTCATATCCACTTCTTCCATAACAGCCTTCTGTTCAGGGGCTTTTGTCTGTGTGAGGTAAAAAGATTTTAATCAAAAATACACATATATGGTGCATAAATCATATTTATAAGCTAGGTCCATTATAATGCACCCATCAAATCAGTACTAAAAGTAAAGACAGTGATATATATCATAAAAGATTAACAATAATTGTTATATTTTAATATCTAGAATATAGTCCATTTTTTATAATAAAAACTATTTGGAAATAGAATGTTATTTCATCTTCCTGGTTATACACATGTATGTACAGTATGCCATGTGGGAAAAGCACCAACCCATCTAGCACAAAGGCATTTTAAGGTTACACAAAAAGGCCACACAAAAAGGTTTTCCCTTAGCTGTTGAAAACTCATTCCCCTAATGACCAGTACTGCATCCTTTGACGAATTGTGCATATGGTAATACTGGGGGTTTAGCAAATTGAACAGGGAACTACCAGTACATGGATAGCAGATTGTCTTCGAAGTTTGTGTGTTAAGTACACAATTTTCAATTGTTTTAAAAACTAAAACAAAAAAGCAAAATAAACCTTCCCTGGATATAATTATTTCTGTAACTCTTCAAGTAATACATAACTAATACTAACTTGTGTATCAGTTACTACCGAGAAAGTCCCATGACTAAATCCGCAAATACCGGCAGGTGCCAAACACTAGGGGTAGGTCTCGAACTGTTGCAGCAGAGACATGCACATATAAGTATTCACATGGCCTAAGCACAGATTTTTCTATCTTACCTCTGGTGGAGAAGAAAACAAATCATCATTATCCTGTTCGTTTTCTTCATATTCTTGATCTTCAAATGGGGGTGGTTCTCGAGTCGCCATCTTGAAACATCACGTGATCATTACTCACGTCTGTGGCTGTCGTAATACATAATTTGGCAAATACATAAAATCTCACACTGACAAAAATCCATTTAACACTCACATCAAAACCAAATCGAAAGCACAGAATTTTATTTATCAATCGTGTTGCCTCAATATAGAAAACTCTCCTTTTAAAAATGTTTTTACGACAACTCCTTCAATCTCACCTGTCACAATCATGCAGAAACTCATAATACATGTATGTAGTGGAAACTTCCAAGAAGTTGCCAGTTATATTCAACGTTTATTCACTCAGACTTTAACCATTATAAAGGGAGAAATGGATCCGTTTATCTTGTGGTGCATTTTCCTAAGACAATGCACCTCCAAAATCCTTTCAAAACACTGAGTCATATAATTTGTGAATTTTGAATTTTAATAAAATTTATCTTGTATTCTTAAAAAAAAAAAAAAAAAAAAAAAAAAAAAAAAAAAAAAAAAAAAAAAAAA